AAAATTATAAACGCAACACTTGTTTTTGCCCCCATTTGTCATGAGCTGAACTCAAAGATCTAAGACTTTTTCTATGTACACAAAAGGCCTATTTCTCTCAAATATTGTTCACAAATCTGTCTAAATCTGTGTTAGTGAGCACTTCTCCTTTGCCGAGATAATCCATCCGCCTCACAGGTGTGGCATATCAAGATGCTGATTAGACAGCATGATTATTGCACAGGTGTGCCTTAGGCTGGTCACAATAAAAGGCCACTCTAAATACTTTAATGTCATTTCTATTGAAACTTGTATTTCATGTATTTTATGTATTTTAAGCTGCCGTTTAGTACATTTGAAATATATTCACTTTAAATGTAATATTAAATAACACACTACAGTTTAAATTATAATCAAGATTTTACATGTGCATGTGATGTGTTGATTTACATAGTATGTTAATCAACACATCAAAATAAATGTACATCATTAAAGCAAGATAACATTTTATTAAAACAATTATTTAAAGTCAACTTTAAAATAAAACTTTAATTTGACATTATTACAAAGTGCACATTTTAAAAGTGTACTTTAATGACTCTTTAAGTGCACTTAAGTGTCCTTCTATTTCATTAATATTACATTATCTGCAAGTATTTTTTATTTACTTTTAAGATTTTTAGGTACACTAAAAGTGCACATTCAATACAATTAAGCGCACTTCTTTTTCACAAGGGTTGATTTGAAGTGAAAGAAGTACATAATATTCCTATAGTATATGATATATATGATCTGCAAAAGCAACTAACAATGAGTCAAGTGTGAAAAGACTGTAAAAATTAATTAGCCTACAACACCTTACAGAAAAAAAGACAAAACAAAATGCCGCTCATTTACTTTGAACTTTGACTATTTATTTCATTAAATCGCAGTGTTTTACAGTTTAATAAAGGCTATACTGCTTTTTAATGAGCTGTTCAGACCTAAAAACGCTTCACCTCCATCAGGCACTTAAAATAATCGATGCCTTTGTAGGTAAAACATCGATCTAAATTGATGAGCGTATCTTTCTTTGAGGGCCTGTAGAGTTGATTAGATTTACAAGTAATGGGGTCTCTGGCTTATTGGAAAATTTAAACACACACAGATCTGAGACTCGCACAGCTCCTCTTAACACACTCCTGTGATCAGCAGATGTCATTGAGGGTATTGACGTGCTAGCGCTCTCGGGGTTAGGGCTCTGATTAGTTCACGTTAGAGGAAACTGGTGCCTTTGAGACTGAAGGGTAATGAGTTCATGTCAACACCGAGCGCTTCCGGTCTCTAACCCCCTCCAGAGTGTGTCTCTGACAAGATCACACACGGTATTTAGCAAACTGTGTCCTTTATTGAAGTTTCAATTATTTAATGTATTGTTTATTTGTTTAAAGATATTGTGTCACATTGAAGTTTATATTGTTTTAATTTGTTCCATGTTAAAAAACTTTTTCCTATAGCAGTTTAATATGCAAATGTGAAACCACACGGTGTGAAAACTGTGTCTGAAACGTCTGGCTCAACCAGTGGTGTGATTGAGAGGTGAGACTACCTGCCTCAACAATGGCAGATGGGAAAGTATTCGGAAAACCTGTGTAGATTTTTGCAAAACTAATGTCTAGTAATGCATCAAAATTTTGGCAACAAAAATATTCATTCGAAACAGCAAAAAAAAAAAAAAAAGGCACATGAATAAATCATCTCTTCCTGCTTACTACTAGCATGAAATAAACATAAATGAACATCAGAAGGTATGATGAAATAAACTGAAATGTATCATGTCTCATGTAATCACTCAATCAGTGTTCAACCATTGAAAGACGTCAAACAGCTTGTAAACAATGCCATGTAATAATGTTACATTTACCTGAAGAAAGCCATTAAATGTCCACAAGCTAGACAGTTAGCTAGAAAAGATGGTAAAACTTTATTTTAAGGACCAATTCTCACTATTAACTAGCATGCCTATTACTAGCATATTAGCTGTTTTTTGGTACTTATAAAGCACATATTAATACCTTATGACCATATTTTAGATCCCTTAATCCTATCCCATACCTAAGCTTAACAATAGAGATGCACCGATTGCAATTTTCTTGACCGATTCCGATTTCCGAATTTTTGTTAGTGTGATCTGCCAATACCGATTTTTGCCGATTCCGATTTTCTTTCTAAAAACTATAATCCCTGCGGGAATGACTAAAATAATGCACAATACAAGCACTATTTAACCGGAGCGAATGAGACGTGTGTGAGAGAGAAGGGGTCGTCGGGAGAATAGAGAGCGAGAATGCACGGTTGATGTTATTGCCTGTGCCGCTGGTAACAAAACGGATCGGCTCAAAAATCGGAAAGAAGTGAGACTGACCGGCCGATCACCGATCCGGGCCGATTATGAGAAAAATCGTCCGATTCCGATGCCTGGCCGATCGATCGGTGCATCTCTACTTAACAACTACCTACAAACTCTTAATAAGCGGCAAATTAGGAGTTTACGGAGTTGTAGTTAATAGTTAGTTAATAGTGGAAGTTGGAGCTTAAAATAAAGTGTGACCGAAAAAACCTAAGCTGTTAGTGATGTCTTCATTATTTAATCCATGTTTGAATAAATCTGTCATGAAAACAAGTTATTACAGCCACTGTTTAAATGTTTATATTTCAACAACAATCTGGAGTAGAAACATGCTGTAAATAGAACATATAGTTAATATAAACATTATAGTTTTTATAGAAAATTGCTATAAAAACTGCTGTATGTGAAATTTAAATCTTTGCAAAGAACTACGTTTTTATTGGAGTGTTGATTTGATTAAATAGATGTAATTAATTCATTGATTGATTATTACATAAACGTTACTTCCACAGTTTCAGTATTTGGCTAAATGAAAACTTGAATTTTGGTTTCTGTAAAAAATTCATTTTGGTGCATCACTACTAATATCGATTGAATATATTTTGGTCTGTTGGTGTACAATTTAATAGGCACATTCACTCTCTCTCTCACACACACACACACACACAGAAAGAGACAGTGCGGGACAGCTGTGGGGTTACTGACTGGAAGGAAGGGGGTCTGGAGTCTCCGATGCCTCCTGTCCTCTCCGGCGGGGGCGGCAGATCGGCCTGAGAGTCTGCACACACTGAACCGCCGTCAGAGCCATGAGAGCCGTCTGCAGACACCAGCTGTACAGAGACACACAGAGAGAAACAATGGAATTAGCTTATCTACAGCAAAGGAAGTTAAGCTCTATCTATAGCATTTGTGACATGATCGGCAATGTCTCATTTCTCATGCTAACATGCCAGCATATACAACTGTACGACATTTTTAAATGTTTTTTGAAAGAAATGTCGCTCAACAAAGCTGCATTTATTTAATTAAAAATACAGTCATTTAAAATCAAATTTTCACATTCAAAATTTACTGAGACAAAGCTGAATTTTCAGCTTCATTACTCCAGTCTTAAGTGTTGCATGATCCTTCAGAAACCATTCTAATATGCGGATTTGCTGCTCAAGAAACCGAGGGGATATTTCAGGAGTGTTTTTCACCCACCCTGTGACTTCACTTAGATAATCCAATCACAGCCAACATGGAAGAAGACAATGTGTTTTAAGAGCACAGCAACACACAGAGAATAAGCAGCCATTTTCACTTATTACACCTTGGGAGATACTTATTACATTTTGGATGATTTTTTTATTTTTTTTTAAACATTTTCCATATTTTCCACAATAGTTAAGAGAAAAAGCTACACGAAAAATCTGAAAGAACAGCTCAAATGAAAAAAAGAAATAAATAAAAAACCGCAGACAGATATGCTAATATATAAAATAATAAATATAATACTTCTAAATAAACAAAATAGTACAAAAAAATGTAAGCCTAAATTAAGAGTTATGTATTTTTATTGTTTTGTTTTTGTATCTATTTTGGATTAAAAAATTTTTTTTAACATGAACAAAAACAAAAATACAAAACTTAATGTGATGCATATTTATCAGTCATACATGAATGAAACAGTTAATAAAATAGGTAAGATTTAAATACACATTAACCAGGTTTATGTATTTATCATCAGTAAATCTGTTTCAGTCTCACACATTTCAACTAACTGAATATTGCTTGTTCCACAGCTAGCCATATTTAACCATGTTCATACTGTTTAACTGAATAAATGTAAATGTTTGCATGATGAACAGATTTATGCTGATTCTAAGCAATTGAAATAAATGCATTTTGAAAATATGGTTACTTAAAATCAAATAGATGCAAATAGTTAATAATAAACTATGCCATGATTTTAAGAGTGAAGTGTGAAGTGATTTATTTATGTATAACAAATATGCATCACATTTATTTTATTAGCTAGTTAAATGGATGGAAATTTTATATGCAATTTGAATACATAAATCTTATATTTATGTATTTGAGAAATGTGGCAATCCAAAAAGATGTCCATATCTTTTATAACTTGTTTTTTACATTACATATAAGCAATTTAAAGGGTCATATGATGCTATTTCAATTTTTCCTTTCTCTTTGGAGTGTTATAAGCTCTTGGTGCATAAAGAAGATCTGTAAAGTTGCAAAGACTAAAGTCTCAAATCCAAAGAGATATTCGTTATAAAAGTTAAGAGTCAGCCACACCTACCTAAAACAGCTCGTTCTAACACGCCCCCACATGTCTACCTCACTATGTGGGAAGATTTGCATAACGCCGCCCAAATGTTCACGCAAAGAAAGAAGGCGTAACTTTTATTCTCGCTGTAGTATTGTTGTTGTCACCGACCACCATGTCGTGCAGCGAAAGTGTTGTGAAAGGGAAACTACTTTGTTTGGTCTTCCAAAAGAGGATGATATCCGCTTCGTCATGCCTGGAGCTGATCTGTGCTGGACGCTGAGGAAATACATCAACTTCCCGCTGTGGATCGCCGGATCGGCTTTCACCGTGGACGAAG